TCTGCTTTTCCACCAAACATCTGGAGAACTGACCCATCCATGTTCCACTGGGCGACGGTCCTCTGAGCCCAGAGAAGCTGCTTCCTGCTCTGAGGAGAACAGCAAGCTAGCGATAGCCTTCACGCTAACATTAGCCTTGTAGCTAACATAAGTACTTTAGCAAATTTTTTATATGTTATCTATGGTTAGCCGTCGTCTGTCACACACGTAACTAAACAATCAAATTAAAAGACATTTAATCATGTAAAGGAGACCTCTAATGCTTCCATGAACAGGTTCAGACAAACAGGCAGAACTTCAGCTGCAGGACTGTTTGTTTTCCTTCCATCCAGATGGTTTTGTTTTAAAATTAGAAGTTTAGGCCTCCCCAGTTTGATGGACAGGAAATGTAATTTTACCTCCAGCGAGGTGATTCCTGTTAGCTGAAAACATCGAAGGCCTGCATAGCTCACAAGGCGGGCAATAACACCGACTATCCAGAATGACAGACTGGGATTTCTGACAGTTTCTGTGGGCGATTTTTCCTGACAGCTGGAATGTTTTCAGTCTTCCGGACAGAAAACATCCAAACAGGAAGTCATCGTGGCTCCAGATCCCAGCTGACCTCTGAAAACTTACCTCAGTTCACCTGTAACCTTGAAAAACATAAAATAAAATAATGAAGTTTGTTTTGAAAACTTTTACTCCACACTTAGAAAGTGAATTTCCACAGCTTTATTTTGTTTAGAGATACCGATGCTCATCAGGTGTGATTAAAAAGCGCTGATCGATGAATCCCTGGCTGCTCCGCTAACTTATCACACCTGCTTCATGTTTCCAACCAGCCGGTCTGCAGTACCGACACATTACGTCTTTATCAACACATATTACAGCTAAATTTAAAAAATACAGCAAACATCATGAAGGAGGCGGCTCTCATCCCGAGTTAAAGCGGCAGTACAGACCAAACGTGACCACAGGAACCGTCTTCTAAAACATCTGAAAATCAGCTAAACTCGATGTCTGTGTCAGAGGAAAGATTCGGTCTCACTGCGCAACTGAAGAGATTTTCCTGCAGGTGGGAAACAGATAAAAATGTTTACAGATTCACCTGAGCAACAGACGAAGGTGTTAAGATGAAATAAACAACCACAGATGGAGATGGAAACTTAAAGTCATCCTGAGTGTTTGGTTTCTTTTTCTTCTCTCTAACAGGGACCTTGTGGCCAATCAATACTTCATCGTTCGCCTGGGTGAGGATTTACCTAACCTCTGCTGCAGCCCAGCAGGGACAATAAAAACCGATAAACAAAGACGGGGAGCAGGCGCTGAAGGGGGCTCATTAAGAGCCGATGGACCCCAAATCCCTCTTTAACAAACACACACACACGTTCCCTTCAGTTTAGATACAGCATTGAAAACCCCAACCACTTCCAGCATAATTTGAACTAAAAGACAATTTAGCTACCAGTTTGTAGTACAAAAATCCCATTACTAAGGATGTCAATAATTTATTTACTGACAATTGTTGATTAATGGTTTAGTAGATTAAAATTATTCCAATACATTCATTTATAACTTCCACTTAGATCTTCTTCTACTGTTGTAGTTTGGTCGCCATCCCGCAGAGGGCGCCACTGGTCATCCATAAGTAAACCCAGTTGATACAGAAATCAAGATGGCAGCCATGTTCGAATGGGAAAGTGGGATGATAAATTCTCTTCATGCGGTTCTGAGTAGAAATATAAACACTCGACAAACTCCAAAAATTACTGATGTGCTTCGAAGTCGATAAAGTCTGCGCTCCTCCTCACTGACAGGACATCTGCATGAATATTCCTCTGTTCATGAGGATTACGTGCTTCACATGTTTTATTTTTCTCATCTTTTATTTCTCAATTCAGCAACTGAGGAGATTACTGTTCTATTATATTTTCTAAATATATCTAAACTTAATGTGAAAAAAAATTGTTAGTTTATTCAGTTAGTATTTAATAGACACAAAATAAAGATAATCTCTTCATGTTATGGAACCACAGTCGACCTTCTTAATACAAGAAAAAACTCAGGTTTTTAAGAAAAATGCTGCTTATCAATTAATCGGTGAGATCTATCACCTTCAGATTAACTCAATTGATAACTTCTATCTCTATTTTGTATAGGTGCACAAAATATAATGATAGGACTTTTATTTTGAAGGCCACTATTGCTTTCTTAATAACATAATTGTTTATTAGGAAAGCAATAGGCCCTCATTTGCTGAGGCAAATTTGCTGATGTGCCTCAGCAAATGTGTTGCATACCTTTCAAGAAGTTAGTTTAACATTTAAATATGTTTAATGTTAAAAAAAGAAAAAAAAACTGATGCACAATGCAGAGTTTTCTACAAGGCACAGATTTCTTAATGTTTCTCTGCTGAAATCGACTGTACAGCTGTGCTTAGTGTGGAGAACATATAACGGTGTTTAAAGATTACAATTTCACCCACAACCATGAGATGAAACATGAGAGAAGTACAAGAATTTGACTGATGCAGAGCAGGATGAGCTTCAGAGGAAAGCTAGTAAAAACACGACAGCAACAACATTTTTAAAAAGCTCCACTCTTCCAGGGACGCAGCAGCCAGACCAGCTTTGCTAAACCCAACAAAATTACAGGATATGGCAGGTATTCTCTGATGGGGAGTTTATTCTCTGTTTGGTGGAGTCTGCAGAGCTAAATTACTCTGAGAAAAACGATGCATTAGCAGACATGTAGGCCTGACTAATATGCAATAAATCAATTAATTGCATAATCAATTAAAATGAGCTCAATAATTTCCATTTGCATGACTTATTGTTTTTCTCTTTCTTTTCTCCTTTCTTTCTATCAAAAACTGGATGACAAAAGTTTTCAACTCGCTAATTTTTTAAGAACAATTTAAGACTTCATAATTCATTTTATTTGTTGTTCCTGTTATTTTATTTATTTTAAAATCTCTTCCAGTGTTAAATTTTCATTAGGATTGAAAGTTTATTGATATTTGAGGATATGTTCTTGCATTATTATGCCTATACCATTATATTACCTGAAAATGGTCTGAAAACAACAACAACTTCTGGGCCAATTTATCGTCCAACTAAATTTGTTATCGCGATAGACATGCAGACATGTTTCTGCGCACCGCAACGAGTTGGATTGAGAATACTGCAGCGTATTTGGCGCTTCAGCTGCCAAAAACCCCAGAAAATTTTGACTTGTTTTACTTAGTGGATTGTGATGTCCATGAAACAGCATGAGCATGGAACATATGCCCTTTACTGTTGATATGATTCACTGATAAATTAACTAAGTGAAGAAGAGTTCTCTCTGAGTTAAACCAAACAAAAACACTGTTTTGATTTTAGTTATTGCTTTTTTGCAAAAGTGATGTTGGTGTTTGAAAACTAGTCAATAAAGATATGATGCCGTTTCATAAATGCTGCAAAAAATGCACATTTTCGAAATTATTTTTAGAAAGTTAAGCAGTACAAAAAGTTTGTGCTTCACACTTGCTCATTTGATACGTTTGCCTTACTGTTAGTTATTGATGTAAATTGATGCTGGCATTCTATGTTGTTGAATAACTAAACATTGCAAAAACTGAGATGTCTAAAAAGTATGAGACCGTTTAGATAATAAAGAATAAATGGCCTTTGAACATGAATGAAATTTCTTATATAGCCACTTTAGAAATATTATGATTTTGCTTTTGTCCTTTGTGCCTTCTGAGGTCCTTCGGTCCTCAGAAGGCACATACTGGACCAGGTCACATAAAGTCACATAAACAAGCACGCACACACGCACACACAGTTCATGTTTACACCGAAGATGCAGAGGAAATGAGGAGACAAACAGGAAATGAGACGAATCAGCCTTGATTTGGCTCCAAGATAACATCAATAGCAACATTTTGTCACAAAGTGGCCTAAACAAAACATTTCACAGAGCTGCTGATTGGTCTGTTTCAGGGGTTGAAGGTGGTTTCAACTTATCCATCAAGGTCTGCGTATAAAACGCTTGATCCCTGTCTGAATCCTGCAGAGGGTTTTATCAGCAGCAGACAGACGTTTGAAACTAAAGCTGAATTTATCAAAATGTGTTCAAACAGAACGGAGCTGAGAGAAGCTGCTGAATATGAAATCAGCTGAGAGGCCGTTAGGTTGACGTAGTGAGGTTAAAGGGACAGATTATTCAATAATTTTGCTTCTAAATTGTTGAATAAATACACATATGAGCTCAATAACAGAGATGTTTATGGTTTTTAATCTGCTCTTCAACCATCAGATTGGAGCAGTGTTATTCTAGCATTCATCTTCCCAGAGTTTCTCTGACCGTTCATGGAGCTTCTTTAGAAATGTGGACTCTGACATTAGCATTATCTGCTACATGTTTAGCATTGAGATGCTACGTATTTTATGCTAGAATTGCTCCACTGACAGGCTAACTGCTTTCAGCACAACTTGAACACAACAACAACGGTTTCCAGCGTCCACTCAGAAGTTCGGTCGTCCACAGCTGACTTTAGAGGACGTAGTTTGTGCCTCAGATTTACGGATGTATCAGAAACACATAAATACAAAGTTCTGTCTCAGGACATTCACATGTAAAAAACAAAAAATTGTCAATTGTGTTAAAATCTGTGTAAGTAATTAATAGAAATAAACATGTTAAAGTCCCAACCCTGATATTAATACTCTGTTTATGTTCTGGTCAACATCATAGATTCAGAACAATCATTTATTACCAAAAACCTTTCACTTTACTTTCTCAAAGCTGAATTTTGTTTGCTTGTTTCTGCACTTGCTGAAATAAATACCAAGCACATTTCCTTCTCTGTTGCACGGCTATTTATTCCTACTTGTTTGCTCTTTCTATTCTTTAATAAGACACATTTTAAATGCAAATCTGCTCTGAATATTCACATCCAACATGGAAGTAAACTTAAGAGAAAAACCAAGCGTCTCCAGCATTGTGAGTTCTTGTGTTGGAGGCGTACTCACCGCTGGAGCAGTCCAGTCCCCCCCAGCCCGGCTCACACTGGCAGGTATCCGGAGAAACACACCGGCCGTGGACACACTCCTCCGTACACAGCGCTGCAGAGAAACAGGACGACCCAGATCAGCAATCTGGACCAGGAAAACCTCAGCGGGGGGTTGAAACTCATCAAGGCTCAGAGCACAAACAAACTGTTAAAGGAAGGTTTTGTTGTGATCTTTAATGAAAAAAGTTGGACTTTTTTGTCTAAATAAATCTGCGTACTGAAGGGTAAATGTGGTTCAGGGTTAAAGTCAGAAACGTTTTGGGAGGACAAACAAAAGCAAAGCCTCTGACCTCCTGATGCTCCATGACAACCGCTGCTATCGCTGTGATTTTCCTCACTGGGTCCAGTTTTACATAAAACATTAGAAAGGCAGGGATTCATCTATCAACAACTTACTTTCTGACTGTTCTCACTATTTATTTATTCACTAAGATGCTCTAAAATCTCCCCAGTCCTGATAAGAAGTGATATCTGCATTGTACAGCAGGCAGATAAGGAAGCTACGGCGCTCATTTCTCAGCCTGAGATGGTTTCATATTTCATTATGACAGGACCTTACAGCTGAGAGCAATCAGACGCTTCAGAGCAAACAACGCCACGCTCAGAAATAAGGCAGGACGAGGTTTTATGGGGCTGCGGCGCGTCACTCTGCTGTTATCTCATAATCAGGCAGAAGACGTTGCCTGGAGAGGCATGAAGAAGAGAAGAGAGTAAAAAACTCCACGGAGGAGGAGCAGAACGGATTCATCCCCCAGATGGAAATCATCTGGAAAAATAAATTTTTACTTGAAATAAAATCTGTTCATGGCCTTAAAACTGTTGAATTTATTTTTGGACAATGTGAAAATCCCTCTTTGCTAAATTAATCAGTCAATCCAGGATTTCATGATGGTTTTTGTGATTTCTTTCAAAACATTTTGGTTTCGTGGCATTAATTCAGAAAAATATGCAAGGAATTTTATATTTCCACTTGTATCTGATGGTAAATGCGACTATAATCTGAATCAAGAAAAGCTGAGGCAGCAGACTGGAAATATCGCCACCTGCAGGTTGGAGTTAGTATTAGGAGTGACCATGTTTGTGAAAAATATGCATTAAATTCACAATTATATAATAGCGTGAAAAAATGCAAAGATCTGTTGATTTTGCGTAAATCACAAAATCCCAAAAATCTGAAGGGATCCATCCTTACCTCCGTCCTTCAACATTAAACCTTTGCTTAATGTTGTAAATATATTTTTAAGTTGCTATTTTCCGACTTCCTGCAGGAGATAGCTGTGCTACAGTGGCAACATGCTTTCTTTTTCTTCTCCAATATTGATTCTACCTTCCAGGATTTTGCGATTATTTTTGTGATTTTTTCTTTTGCAAACAAAATCACTGATTCTTTGGTGTTACTGTAAAAATATTTGCAAGGAATTTTTTCCTCATTAAACAAAAAATCTACATGTTGAAGAAAAAAGATGAGAAAAAATAGCAAGCAGGCAGATTGGACACACAATTTTATTCTTTAAAGGGCTTAAAATGAATGAATGAATGAATGAATGAATGAATGAATGAATGAATGAATGGAAGCAGGTTCAGCTTAAATGTGTAATGCAGCTCAAATGTTTAGTAATTTTTCAGACTCTGTGTTTCAGTCAGAAAAGCTGTGAGAACTTCATTGGACGGCGTGTAAACGTTTCCAGCTTTAATGATTTAAGAGCAGCTAGTTTAGTTCTTTGGATTCAGGGTGGAAAGAGCAGGAAAACTTTGAGCGCCTCCTCCGCAGCAGCCCAGAGTTGTCTAATTAACAGTTTTTTTGCAGTGTTTTTTCGGCGCGGCGGAGCTGAGGACAGCCGTTTCTCTGTTTGTCAGCTGGACTCGGCCGTTTTCAGGAATCTGTAGCACTGAGGCTTTCTGGGTGTCAAACGGAGAAAAGCAATCATAGATGCTGTCCTAAGCTTCCTCTCTGTTCCAGCTCACTTTTTAATTAGTGTGCAGACAAACACACATGAAGCTGTTGACACAGGAGAAGCGAAGCTTTAACCTTTCTGAGACGAAGCTCAGTGGAGTTAGGAAGCAGAAGCAGCTTTGTCTCGGTTTCATGTGGAGAGGATGATCTAAATACTGCATCATGTCACAGATCTTCACTCTGCTGTCGTCTTTTCTCAAACACAAACCAACAAGTTGACTAGACATGCAGAATCAAACGCTGTGAGCATGACAGCCTCATGAAAACTTGAATTATTTGGACGTGGCTCTGCAGACAGTGAAGAGCTGAAGTGAGGAGTTCTGGGTTTAGACGAAGGTACGGATGGATTCCAGGGGGCTTCAGCCACTCAGGTCACTTTTACTCCTTTTTCCTCCCAGTCACACAGAATGGACTCACTTCTAAACGTATTATTGTGTTACTGTTATTGTGTGTGTGATGAATGTTGTCAGCGTGTTGAGTTTGTTTCGGCTCATATTTCCATTCCTGCGGGTTTTTTCACATCATCCTTCAAACGGACAGCGAGCCGAAGTCGCCGCTTCCAGATTTATTTCTCTTCTCAGGCAGCAGCGCTCTGCACAAACATGTCTGTGATCACATTTATATTCCTGTGAACTTCAGGCTTTATTTCACACTGAGCATGCTCACCGACTTCTCTGTTCAAACTGAGTCTGTGAATAATGGAAAGTTTGCTCATCAGTTCTAAAAATCGCATTCAGGAAAACCAGGATCACAAACCGGCTGCATCTCTGAGTCAGACTGTTAGACTGAGTTTAATAAAGTCATAATATTAGCAAAATAAAGATGGAAGTCATTTTAATGAGAGAAAAGCTTAGACAGACCAGCGCAACGTGTGGTCTCTCATATTGCTACAGATTTATTCTCATATTATTACAAATTCATATTTATATTACTACAACTTTATTCTCTTAATAATGCGACTCTATTGTTGCGGATTCTGTCCATCTGGCCCTAAAACTCGTCGTACATTTGGGCAAATTTACAGGGAAAAATCTGTAAACGTTCAATTCTCTAAGATCAGAACCGTTTGTGACACGAAGTGTGAAATATTTAAATTCTCCTTAAAGCTGGCAACAACCACTTCAAAAACTAAACATTGCAGAAGGTCCAACTGTTCTCCTCTTTCAGTGGAAACCGCCTGATTTATAGATGCAAATTAATCCTAAAATCTACAAATAAATTGTAAAATTAAGTTTTTCTTATCGTTTAAATTCAGGACCGAAGCTCCTGGTCATCAAAAATGACCTGACAGGATATGGTTCTGGTCCAAAAATGCAAACATGTTTCTTTTTACTCTGACAAGTTTTACATCGAATTATTTCTTAAAAATATTTACATAAATGAGTTTTGACACGCATCTTTGATATTAAATGCAAGAAAAGCATTTTACCATTCAGTAAATGAGCTAAAGGCTGAACAACTCGACCAAGTCCTTGTTTTTTCACAGAGTTAAAGTTCAGATCTTCATCTGAGGCAGGACTCAGACGCTCCAGTCTGAATGCTGAAGGTCCAGCAGGTTCTGCTTCCTCCACAGTAAAACTTAACTGGAGCGTTGCTGTGTGTAAACTTCAGGCTGAAATTTTTCTGCTGCCCAGCATATTTTATGAGGCCGATAAAACGCCTCGCAGTGTCGCGCTCAGATTTTAATAAGAGAGGCAGGAGCTGTGGTCGTCCTGGAGGAGAGATGATTAATCTTTAAAGGGACGGTGATCCTTTCATCCCGAGCAGAAAGCGCTCCACGCAGGATTACATCAGCAATGGCTCCAACAAGATTAATAGATATCAAATGAAATAATCGCTGCTTAATTCCAGCCATTGTCTCAGCGTGCTGAAGCAGCCGTCGGCGCCCTTGAAGCCGCTGGTTGTTGAACATCAGCGAGGACGCACCTGAAGTTCTGCCACCTGCAGGAGGAGCCGTCCTGGACGGACGCCTCCAGCTCTGAACCCGGTTCAGTTTGAGTTCTTTTATTTTCCTCCACGACTAAACGGATCCATCACTTAAAAAGTTACTTGTTTTATAGGGGCACTGTGTGTTTTCCATATTCCACTTTATAGCATAATCAGTAACTATGTTTCCTTCAGTTGTTATTAAAATGCTAAAAACATATAAAATCTGATTTAAAAGAAATTTTACTTCCTGATTTGAAATTGGGCGTCTGTCTCTTTAAGAACTCCTGCTCTTTCTGAAGCTCCGCCTCCAGGCAGTCATCCCAATATGGCTCCTCTATTAGCCCTTTAGCAGCGTTTTTCCTGGCGTCGCTCTGAGCAGCAGCTCCATGAGCTCAGCAGTTCCACTGGCTGCTTGCTAATTGCTGCTGGCTAGTCTGAAGGAGCTGAGGCTAGGATTTCTCAAACATGCATGATGAGGGAATAACATTAAAACATAATGGAAAGTCAAACTGTCCATTTAAAGGTTTAAAAGTTCAACATTTTACAAATTTTAAAAGTCAGAAATCTGCTGAGTTCAAAAAACAGCAAAAAAACTGCAAGAGTCGCTATCGTTAGCGAGCCGCTAGCTGCTGCTCAGCCAATCAGAGCAGGAGTCGCTGCCAAGTTAGCGAGCCGCTAGCTGCTGCTCAGCCAATCAGAGCAGGAGTCGCTACAATTAGCAAGCCGCTAGCTGCTGCTCAGCCAATCAGAGCAGGAGTCTCTACCGTTAGCGAGCAGCTAGCTGCTGCTCAGCCAATCAGAGCAGGAGTCTCTACCATTAGCGAGCCGCTAACCGCTGTGACCTCCTGCTTAACCAATCAGAGCCGGAGGTCACACCATCAAACAAAGCAGTCAGAGGTTTTCCTCCAGAGTCTCCAGGGAGAAGACAGTTGTTGTTTACCAGCAGAATAAAATGACACAATGTCCCCCCGCTGACCTCTGACCCCCAGGCAGTCCCCCTCTGTTCAGGGACAAAGCAGCTCTGAACCATAGAGTTTACCATGTAGAGTGGATAATTGATTTCTGCAGCTGAATGAAGACGAACTCTCTGGACGGATTTTTCTCCTCCGGGTTTTTCTGTCGTATTTCTGTAAATTTCACAATTTCTTTAGTTTTATTTGTGTAGAAAATAATTCAAACTCCAACATTAAAGTCAGTTTATGGAGTTTTAAATAAAAAATCTGTTTGCAAAAATAATAACTTCCCTTTAATCAGTAATAATCAAGTTATGAAATCATTTTATTTAGATGAATCTGACAAACGTTCTAATAAATCAGAGATCTGCAACCTAAAGATTCGCTTTACCAAACGTCACGAAAAAACAACACAGCTTAAAAACAAATATCTACTTTAGGAAAGAGCCGGTGTTACATTTCTGTTGTTACAACTTAAAGTAAAGATAAACATAAAAGAGGATGCAGATATTTTTCTTTTCTTTTTTAAACTACAGATTCCAACAAAATGACAGGAAAAACATTTAAAATCACGTTACTGATGCGCTGTGTCTTTCTTTGTGGAAATTCAGTTCAGATATTGCAGGAAAAAAAGAAAAATGGTTAAAAACCTGCAATTGTTATTATTTCTCTATTTAAAAACATGAACTGGCTCATTTTAATTTTTAGCCAAAGTTATTAAGAGCATGATAAAAGAAAGTGCGCCCTCCTTCAGCCCTCTGGTTTGGTCTGAAACACTGAGCTGCTCTTCGTGACTTTAACTGGTTCATTCAGAAAACACTAATAATAAAATCTTTATCTTCTCAGAAACTGATGGATTTTATGTTTTTGTGGTGCGTTAGTTTTTGCTGTGGCGCGTCACACATCAACTCATGATTATGAGCCACACAGTGAGTGCACAGCCCACACCATGACTCCTCCACCGCCGTGCTCCACATCTCCTCTCAGGCTGGGTGATGTCGCAGAGAGAAAATCTGAATTTATTTATTTAGCTTGTTTTCTTTTCTAAAAAAAAAAAAAAATCAATTGCAAATGACAGAAATCATTTTCAAACAGTAATTTCAACCCTCTCTTCTTCGAATTGGGTGACGGATTATTAGGAACGCTCTGCCAGAAAAACAGCAGAATAAAGAACATCTCTTTTTTCAGATTTCACCGCGGATGTTGAGGCAGCGTCTGTCTTCAAACCAAATGAAGGCAGGTGCTAATCTCACTGCGCGTCGGGATTACAGCTGGACATCAGTTGATAATCTGGTGAAAATCCCAGAAGCATCTGGTTCGACACGCAGCGCCACAGCTCCCAGTTCAGCTCCAACCCAAACTACCTGCTGCCTGTTTTCCCAGAGGCAGAAGCAGAACCTGAAGCAGGTTCATCAAAGTGGCAGCAGATAAACCGCCTGGCGAAAACAAAAACAGCGACTGAACATCATCAGCAGGTTTTATCTGGGAATCTCTGATGGTTTTACTCTTCATCTGCTGGAGCTTCTTCATCGCATCTAACACATTTAATCTGTTTCAGTTTTTTATTCCTACAAATTCCTGTTGCTATGTTTTAGGTTTCAAACTCTTCACTGTGTTTTTGTGCAGTTTCTACTGTAAAGGTTTTAGTACACATTAAATAAGACAAAACTAACTGAAAAGTAACTTTTCATAAAGAAACAGAAACTTATTTTTAGTCAATAATTCCTTAATCTTGATAGAAAAGTTCTAGTTTCACTGGCAGATTATTTCACTTATAACATCTGGAATTACTGACCAAAACTAATCCCCTATTTTCTTATAAGTTAGTTTTGTCTTATTTAAAGTCTACTGAGATATTTACAGCTGAAACTGGACAAAAAGACTTTTTCTGTTTTTCAGTGAAACAATATATTCAAACTGGTCCGCAGTGAGAACTGGGTGTTCAGACTGACAGGAAGTATCTGGGATTTTCACATTAAAAGTTTCTTTGCAGTGATGTAAACAAAGCAGCACATTGAGGATGGTGCATTGTGTTTATCTGAGTGCAGATCTGTCTTCTCTGATCATAATTCTGATATTAATGCCGACTTACGGACGCAGAGTTCTCCGGTCTCGTAGAACCCGGGGCAGCACTGCGAGCGTCTGCGGTACATCGTCCTCACGCCTCTCCTGTAGGCCGTCTTATAGCTGATCCTGCACAGGTCGCGCACACACACACACACACACACACACACACACACACACACACAAATCTGAGCTACAAAATGATGCAAATCAGACCTCAAGCATTTCATTCATAAATGTCTCAGTATAAAACTAAATATTTAGTTTACAAAATATTTAAACTAAATATCTGGGAAATATGCAAATTGGACTACCAAAATAAAACCTCTTTATAAACTCCTGCTTTTGAATCACGTAACATCATCTCTTCATCTTGTTTTTTTTCCTCTTGTCTTGAACATTTCAGCTGAAATCAAACGACGAGCCGTTTTAAAGGAAATACAGACGTTTTCCTGTGGATCCACAGCAGCAGTGATGCATCAGCGTTGGAGGATTCAGACTCACCAGCAGGAGTTTATGAAGAAGTTCTCATTACCAGCTTTTATTTTGGTAGTCTACTTCCTTATTGGCAAGTGAATTTGCTAAATATTTAGCTTTAGCTCAGCGCTAACTAAATATCAAGCTTGCTAGCTAAATATTAGCAACATTTCGTTGCTAATATTTAGCTAACTAAATATGGGCTAGCTAAGTATGGATGGGACAGCAACTTCGATGGAGCGAACCAACACAGTCTGGAGCCACATTTTCATATTTATTCATATTTTGAAGTGTTACATCAGAAAAGGTTGATCCAAACTGTAAAATTTGAAATAAGCTTCTCAGTCGTGCAAAATGTTTCTACAGCTGCTACAGCTTCTACAGATGTTTTTTTAGCTAAAGAGGAGAAGAAAACACTTTTAGCCAAATAAGTTGCAGGAAACTTTCAGATCCACTGGTTTGTCTCTGCCTTACCAGAGGAACAAAACGCTGAACATTTCTCAACCCAAACCTCCATTTCCTGAGGTGTGTGGTTCATGCTAGCTAGCATCAACATCTGATGAAACTAGACGTAGCCTGGTCGACCCGCTCCAAACCAGCTGATGGAAACACGACAAATTTGTGTTTTCCTTTACATTTGGATGGAAACATTTGGATGGAAACATTTGGATGGAAACAGAGCTGGAGGCCCAAAGACAGCAGGACAGAAATGAACAGATGGAAAATGAGAAGCTAGGAGATGCTAACTTGGATTAGAGCTTATTTAACTCTTAACGCTACAAGGTTCTGGGTTTGAATCCCAGCCTGGAGTCTTTCTGTACGGAGTCAGCATGTTCTCCCAGTGCATGCTGGGATCTCTCTGGGACTGTTGGGTTAACTGGTCTTGTGGCTGGTTGGGTGTGTGTGTGTGTGTGTGTGTGTGTGTGTGTGTGTGCGCGCGAGATGAACTGTGAAAATGATCTCAGAAATATTCTCAGCTTTCTGGAGATAAACTTATATTTTCTGGGTTATGTCAGAAGAGGCTAAATATCCAATTTAAAACGGATTCTTTGAAACCGACCGTCAGCAGAGCTGGAGAATCGTTGGTGACAGGAAAGTCTGGGATGGAAACTGAAATGTTAAATCAGTCCTCGCTCTCTTCACGTTGTGAAACACTTTACTTATTATTTCTATTTTTACTCTGCTTCAGTGTTTAAACCTTGGGGTTCTGCTTGATCACAAACATTCTCTGAAAATGTCTCCAATCAGAAGAAAGAGTCTTTTCAACAGAAACTCTTTGAATGTCCATGATGAGGCCTGAAGTGCTGTGCTTGAGGTCGGCTGAACTGTGCTCGTTTTTCTGCTCATGTTAACCAGCAGATAGAAACGTGAAATTAAAAACTCCACACTGACAGAAAACCTGAGCAAAATAAAGACGCCTTCGTCAGAACGCCAGCATCAGCTGCTGACTTCCTGTGGGACAAAAACAGCCAGGAGATAATTAAGTATTTTATGGAGACTTGCTAAAACACCGGAACGTCTGAGTGGATCAATAAAGGAAGTAAAGCAGGAGCTACAGAAACAACAAAGTTTCACCAATAAAACGTGTCGCTCAGAGCAGCTGCAGATTCTTTCACTTTCAGCCTCAAACTGTGAAGTTTTAATGTGATTTTATGACGGATTAACCCAGGAAGCATTTGGAAGGAGACGGTCTGCTAGCAGGAGACCAAACCTGAGCCTGGAGACACACTGAGACACGGTGGTGGCAGCATCAGGCTGTGGGAAGCTAGTCAGAGTTAAATTCAGGAAAATCCTGGGTTTCAGCAGGACAACCAGCCTGAACATGCAGCCAGAGATGAGAAGGGGTGGTTTAGATCAGAAAAGATTAATGTGTTAGAATGGCCTAGTCAAAGTCCAGACCTAAATTCAACAGAAATTCTGTGGTAAAACTTGAAAACGGATGTTCTGCATTCAGTCTGACTGAGATTGAGATGTTTCAGTCTGTAGACGCACAAAGCTGGAGACAGAATATAAATGCCTGCCACACTTTTTAGATTTTTATATTGACAAAATGTAAAACCTGTGATTAATGTATTTAAGGCCAACTTACTGTTTTCAATTATTTTAAGACTTTTTAAGGCTCAATGGACACCCTGACTTTGGATAGGAATTTCTCCCTCGTGTTTTTCTGGATTATTTGGGAACGTTGGGAGCATTGGGAACGTTGGGAGCATTGGGAATGTTGGGAGCAGGAAGCATTGGGAATGTTGGGAGCATTGGGAATGTCGGAAGCAGTGGGAGCATTGGGAATGTTGGGAGCATTGGGAATGTCGGAAGCATTGGGAATGTCGGAAGCAGTGGGAGCATTGGGAACGTTGGAAACGTCCTGGTGTTCCTACCTGTGTTTGGTGCATTTGAACCAGTTGAGGATGTCGGTGCAGCGGGTGTAGTAGACCTGGTCGAAGGGATGGGCGTAGGATTCCTGCACGGTGACGGCGTAGCTGCAGAAGAAGAACCACCATCATGTTAGAGCAGGATGTCCAAAGTGAGGCACGGGGGCCGTTTGCGGCCCTGTGAGTAGTTTTAAGTAGCCCTGCATGCAGATAAGAAACGGCACAGCTACAGATGAATTTTTCTGTTTCTCTTTGTATGAAACTTTCAATTACAAATTTAGTATTAACTTTTAGGAACAAAACCAATGTTTTACTTCTAATGGACTAGATAGTTTTTCACATTTTTATTCCTTCTGTATCCCACAATAATTCTGTAATTTGGTAATAGTGAGGTGTCTGGTGACTGGAACTGAGCTGCAGGCCAAAGATCTCCAGTGACTTTTTACTCAAAAACAGACTCAGTCACAGCCAATAATTAAATCCACTTAAAGGTTTTCAAAGATGGTTCTTATTTTTGTTTCTGGGAATAAACTAAAAATAATATCTTGACTGACAAGTTAGGAAACTGCACAACTTTTTCTGAACTTCTTAAATTAAAATACAAGTTAATTTGTTGCTTAGCAGGTAAAAAGAAAAGAATTCACAATAAAATTATTTTAACAAAAAGTTTGGACAGCTCAGTGTTTGAGGTTTCCGTCTGAAAACGTCCAGCATTCCCTGGAAAGTTTTAGTGAAACTGAGGCTTCAGAAGGAAATATTTTAAATTCCCTTTAAACGGACCAGCAGGAAGGGAAACATGAAGAGGAAACTGGAATCATGTTTGCAGCTAATATCCATTTGGAAAATTCCCATCGATCACAGCAGCTCATCAGAACTGGCTCTGGGATTTTCTTTTTTTCCCAGAAGTTCGAACTCGCTGCCACCGTTTTGAATTTACAGCCTCCATCTGCCCCCCTCTGCCCGCGCCATAAACCTTTTCCCTTCTGCATCCGGCTTTTGGCAGAACTCCCCGGCTCTGATTTGTGGCAGGGAGTCCATTAGAGCGCCGGGGCGGTTCCGACCGGCGCTAAATCAGAACTGACCTCTCCCAGTGGCTGCACACGTTGGGGTCATCGGGGTTGAGGGTTCGAACCCCGGAGACGAAGCCGAGGCACAGCAGAGTGAGGCGCGGAGAAAAGCCGACCCCCATCGTCCTCCTCCCTCCGTCCTGCAGGGGTCAGCGCAGACAGGAAGTTAATTTACCATACACCATGTATTATTAATACAATCATACATGAACTTTAACAAAGACAGAAGCAGAGCAAAGGTTTCTTCAGCTTCCTTCAAAACATCCCAGATGACCCAAAATGGCCTCCAGAACCTTCAGCCTATGAAAGTGATGATGGCATCAAAGCTCCTCCCACCTGGATGATCTTAGAAACTAGCTTCAGATCTAGCTTAACTCAGCTTCAGATCGTATTTCATCTCCAGTCACATTGTTTACATTTGTGTCTCTCTTTCTGATGTAAATAATGAAGAAAGTCAGAAAAGAATCGACTCCATTGCAATTACTGTTTAACAGCCCACTGGTTGCCATGGAGATGAAATGACTTCTCAAACATGAAAGAATCAAAGAAACACTCCAGGTTTATTATTAATGAATAAAATAACATGATCTAAAGATTAAAAAATAGTAAATTTTACACAAGACTCCCCCTTTAAATCATTTCCTATTGTTCGCTCCTAAACTTTTCCTCTCAGAGTAACGTTATGTCCAGAAACTAGAAAAACATTTTATTTATTGATTAAAAATGACTCACATTAGGCAGATTTTACAGGTAAAAGTTTTGCTTTTGCTTTTGAGGCTGATTTTGTTTCTTAAATCGACCAAAAGAAAAACTCTTCTGCTTACAGCTAAACTAGAAATTACATAAAAAGAAAAATATTCCCGCTGTATTGAAAGCAACATGAATTTTAAAATGTAATTCCAGCAATTTTATGAAAGTGGAGCAGAATAAACTGTTGAGGGATGTGAAATTACAGGCTGCGGTTCTGGGAAAAGAAGGAAACATGAACCAGAATCCTCCAGAATGGATCCGCGCAGAAACTCTGAGACACTTTATGGAAAACATAAAAACAGAGCCGCTCATCTTCACTTTCATAACCGCCTCGCAGTGATTTCCCCTCATGCTGATTGGGAAAATCACATCAGCGCCTTTACGGGGAACCGGGGCCGATTCAGGAGAATCTACATGCAGGTGTGGTTTCCTTCAGGCCGCTCTGCAGCCACAGAGGACACATCAAGCAGCGCGGTGACAGGAAGCTGCGCTGGCCTGCAGACCGTGACATGTTCATGTTTACCGGCGGACATCCCATCATTAACCTGAGCGCTGCCGCGAGGCAAACACTGACGCTGTCTGTTCCCCGACAGGTGAGGCGCAGGTGGAGCAGCCAATCAGCTGCTGCATGACGAAACAACGGGCATGATGATAATAACAACCCAAACTCTTTACTTAATGATACAAAGACAGCGTCTGAAATCTAGAAAGGCAGAAATTTAAGTAGATTTTGGTTTAAATCTGATGCCGGCAGCAAGTTTTTTGAAAAACTTGGGACGGCGACATGTTTACCACCGCGTTGCATCAGCTGGAGGTGAAGCTGGGAGCCGCTGCTGTCCTGTTAACAGAAAAGGTTTCCAAAAACAGCAAACGTTTGGAATCATGGAGTAAAAAATGCAGCAGTTTACAAATCATTAAAACAAACGCATGTGGAAGATTGGACTTTATTTGCAAAATGAACATTAAGACGATGCATCATTAATCAGGTCGTTAATGTTCTCTTTACTGCATTTTGAAAATTCAGAGAAAATTCCTGCAGGATTTCAGTTTGTTTCTCCCAAAGATTCAATTAGAAAACAAACAGAACCGGATCTGGAACGTTCTGCCTGAGCAAAATGGAACGTGACCAATCTGCTCCAGATTCCTGCATCTGATGCTTTTTATGATAATAAAACATTCAGAAATATTAATAATCAGTAATTCCGAGCTGATTCCTGCAGATTAAATGTTTTTTACGGATTCTGCAAATTTTCAAACTTTTATCAGCAGCGTCTTCGTCACCCAAGGACAGTAAAACTGCAGAGGACTGCTTCCTGTAATTAATTCCCGGCAGCTCCCACAGGTATGAGCGTCCACCTCCAGATTCAGCAGAGATTATTGAGGATGATTAAACTCCCAGTCAGCAGCAGAAACTTGTGTTTTTACCTGAGCTCGGCCATTTTTTATCTCCAACAACAGGGCGATGTTTAAAAAGCGAACTACAGATTCTCATCCATCACAGATCAGCTGCAGGATGACGAACCCGGAGCAGGAAGTCATCTGTTCAACAACCAGCCGGGAGCAGATTAAATACATATTTACAGTTTCTCTCATGTTGTAACTTTTCCTTAGCTTTTGGAGGCTGAATAAGAGAAATACATGGACCCAGAAAACCGTCCTGCTGCGGAGACAGACGCTGCCGTGCCTGAACCTCCAGGAGTTTAGCTACTGACTTCCTGTTGGATCTCCGGAAGAATCAGCCGACAGCGGTTCTGTTCCAATGATCCAGTCAGTTCAACATTTCCAGTCTGAATGTGTCACAGCTTTCACTTCAAATGAATCCCAAACAGCTGCTACAAGCAGCTAACTGATGGCTAGAATGCTAACTGCTAGCGATGTCTCACTCTGGGTCACTGTATCCATCCCTCCCTGACCTCTGAATCCCAGATGAGCAGCAGTAGGTCAGACTGAGTTCTGATGGATCCAAAGTTCTTCAGAACCTGGAGTAACTCTGCAGAAGTTAAAGTTAACAGATGAATAAATTCCTCAGCTGGTTTCACTTTTCCATCATGGATCGTTTTAGTCGCAGCAACACGTTTCAAATCCATCCTGCTGCTAATTTTAACGCCAGAGGAGCCTTTCAGAAGCTAGCTGCTGTTAGCCTAGCCTACCTGTTAGCCTCACTTGTCTGTTAGCCTAGCCTACCTGTTAGCCATGCTTCACTCGTCTCATCAGCTGGAGGTTTTCTTTCAGTCCGACTGTGAAGCAGCAACCAGAACCTGGGTTCTGACCCGGTTCTGTTTCCCAGCAGCCAGACTCTCTGCTGGTCTGGAGTTTTGCTGCTGCCAACGCGGCTCTGATCTCATTTATTACAGTCTGCTGTTTATTACAGTAAATGGAAAAATAAAAACTCGTTTCTGCTGCTGCTCTTCATAAGCAGCAACTCAGAGCGACAGGAAATCAATAAAAACCGGATTATTGTGGGTCAAACCGGATCCCTGCTGGAGGTCTGGGCCCAGATAGGCGTCCACTTAGCGCCTGCAGGACCCGGGACACGATTCAACATATTTACAGTAAACTCACATCATTTACTAGATTTTTCTTCAAAACATTCTTCTTTCTGATTTTGTGACTCTTAAATTGTCTTTAAATGTTATTTTTTTATGGTTAGTGTAACCCAGTCCAAAATAAAGGTATTTTGTATTGAGTTAAGTTCATGGAAGGTGTAATAAT